CCCCCTCCCCGTGGATCTGTCTGCACCGACCATGGGGCCAGGCCATGAGTAGAGAAGAGTCACGGGGGCAAGGTCAAGCTGCTTTTTCCCTCTGTGTTTATGGAACACTTAAAATCAAGAGGGCAGCGGCCTGCAAATGTGAAGATGACAGTATTAAAGTGTCCTTCAGGCTGCTTTCTCCTCGGGGGACCCTTAAGGCGTGCAGGGATGACTTTGCCCGCGGCCGGGAGCGCGCTCAGCTCCCAGGGCCGTGCCGCCTCCCGCCCGCGGGTCCCCTCTGGAGCTGGCTGCCGCTGTCCCAGCACCGTAGTGTCTCGGCGTGCCTGGTGCCATAGCCCCGGCGGGGGGGAGCTCCGGGCGCTGGCACGGATTCAGCCGGCAGCTTCCAGCCCTCCTGCTGCCCGCGCGGGCGCTGCGGGTGGGGGCGTGGGGCGGCGACTGCGGCAGGACGCCGCTCAGGAGCGGTTAAAAGGGGTAAAAGGACTCGTTGCAGGTGGCTCGGAGGTCTTTGTGGCTGGGCTTCGGGTTTTGTTTCTTAGAAACAGGAGCTGCAGAGGTGTCGGGGGCAGAGGGCTCTGCTCCCACGCAGGAGCTCGCGCCCCAGCGCCTTTGCGGGAGCGCCCGTGCCCCGGGGATGTGCCGGGACGTGACGCTTCCTCCCAGGACACCCTGCAGTTTCGGGGTGAGCCCCAGCCCTCCCCAGAGCCCTGACTCACCTCCGAGGCTCTGCTGACAGGAGCCCGGGTCCCGCTGGGCTGCGTTCTCAGGGCCTCGCCTCGGGCATGAAGCTTCCCGGGCTTGGCGGGGCTCCGGGTGTCGCTGCCTCCCTCAGCAGAGGCGTGAAATACAAATGAGGCCCCTCACAATGGGGCTCTGTCAGCGAGGGCTCCCTCTCCGCTTCGGCCCTGCCTCCGCTGACTGGCATCGCCCGACTGGGCCCTTCCTGATTTACACCAGGGAGAGAGAGGCTGGGGCCAGGCTGTGGAGCAGACTCGAGACATGACACAGAGAATTTGTGCCCTCTGCTTCGTTTCCCATGTTTTGGCAGAGTCGCCTTCTGAGAGCTGTTTTCTGTTCTCTGCGCGAGATGCTGAAGCCAGATAGGAAGAGCCTTTGAATCGGGGCTTTGTGGTGGCTCTGGCTGGAGAGCAGCCAGCCGGGCCGGCCGAGACATCTGAGCCTGCACTAACCCCTTCTGCCGGGGCTCAGGGGGGTCTCCTCGGTCGGGTGGTTGCTCCCGCGCAGGGCAGCCCCCGGGGTGTCACTCGCAGCCGCCCCCTCCAGCCCCCTTCCCCTGCTCGCCGCAGCCCCTGGGGTTGTTGCTCTTCCCAGGACCCATCGGTGAATGTTTGTGTGTGTAGACATCAAGAATAGAAGCGGAGGATCCGGGATCCCCTGAGCTGACCCGTTTTTCAGCCCTGGCACCTTACTCTGCCCTGAAGCTGAAAGGGCAGGTCAGGGGTGAGGGCGGGGGTGCAGCTCCGATCTGGTGAGTGTGTAAAGGGCCCAGCGTAGTCGAAAATGCTGCGAGCTCCGCTCGGGGGTTTCGTTAAAATCCTTGCAGCAGTCAAGTTTAGGAGGATTTGAATAGAAAAAGTTTCATTCCGATTACACTTTTTAAAAAAAAAAAAGACAACAAAGTCAGAGAGGAAAAGCTTGTTTGGACTCATTGTAAGCTGCGGGAGGAGTGTTTACTACGCTCTGGGATGCTGAATAAACGCTGTGTTTTTCAAAAAGTTCTTACATAGCAGAGCACATGTATTCCTGAAAGCACTTAGTTAATTCTGTTATTAATATTTTATTAATAATAATTTTAAAAGAAAGAGAGGGCAGTAACTGCTGCTTGCTTTCATCTCTGTGGGAGTAAGATGTGAGGAGCATTCGAGAGAGCTTTCTGGGTAAGGGGAGAAAATAGGTTAAATTCAGTGAGGTTTTACAGAAATGCTCTTTCTACACCCCTCAACAGCATTTTACTTCATGGAAATTATCTTTTCTTCTGTTAACTGCTGATGCATCATAAAAATTAAACTCAGGCATGAAGTATTTTTTTCCGTATGAATATATTTCTCCTTTTCCCATTTCTCCTCACACCGGTTGCCAGAGGAGGCTGCAAGCCGCAGCAGAACCAGCCGCGTCTCGTGCCTCCAGCTCCTCTCCAGCAGCGGCTTGCGACTCCCCCAGCCTGATTTGGGGTTTGGTTTGTCCAGCCCCTTTACCGAGGGCTGGGAGCACGTCGCCTCTGTGCTCCTTCCTGGCCCTCCGTGAGCGCGGTGCCTCCGCTCCCACCGCCGCAGAGTTATTGTTGCCGTCATCAAAACGGGCACCCCGGGGTGGGAAAGGCAGCAGAAGCAGATTCGTTTGGTAGTTACAGGCTTTCAAGTTGTGGTGTTTGCCGGGCTCGGCTCGGAGCCCCGCCGCAGCTTTGCGCCGAGGAGCAGCGGGCTGGGCTGTGCGGGCAGGGGC